TAGTGCATTTTATGGCGGATTGATAACGAGGTATCATTTTCTCACCGCGAAGTTAATGCGATGCGCTTTTTCAAAGAAGTTTAATGCTTTTTCGATCAACCCAGATTTGACGCATTTTACAGTCAAAATGTCTTTTAAAATGTTATTGACTAATCCGTTTGAAATGCCAACCACCGAATCTCTGCTTTTGTGACGTGACTTTCGTTGGTAGAGATTTGTGATCGTCCGGGGCGCTCTCCGTCTTCAACGCATTCTGAGCCTTCTCTGAACTCTTTCCGGCACAGGTGAACATTTATTTTCGGCGAAGTCTGCACAATAAATGTGTTCTGCAAAATCGTAAGTGTTTCCGCACAAGCGTTTCATTTCACAAACAAAATTTAACGCAAGTACTTTGCTCAACAATAGCGCAAATTATAAAAATCAGAAAACCACTACATACATTTATTTAGAATACTTTTATAATTGAGGAACTTTTCTATTTACATCCTACAATATTTTTTGCAAAAGTATATTGGTTGTTTAGAAAATTTATATGAACGTAATTTTAGGCTTGTATTGATTAAATAATTTCATTTTCGCACTTATAGGGACTATTATTCGATTTAGAACAGTTTTACACATTTCACTACAAAAACACCGCGATTTATTGTTAAACCAAATCACTTCTCGAATCACATGCGCCTTGAGTTCCTTCTAACATACTTTTTCTTAATTAACTCAAAACATCTTATCCGAACTAAAACTTTGAGCTTCGACGGGAAGAAAAACCCACTTCGAACTACTACTAGATTTAAAATAAAGCATTAGTTTCGTTTTAATCCAAACATTCTTGGGTAAATAAAAACGAAAATTGAGACATAATTACGGTAAGTCGGATGTATATATTATTATTTTTATTAGATATAAATAAACAAACGGCCGATTAATAGTTCATCCAAAGCTTTACCTAATTTACGAGGCTCTTACAACCAATTTCATGAAGTGACTTAATTGTAATCTTCGAACTTCTTCTATCTATTGATGTACAAGAGGTAGCAATTTGTTTTCTGAAAACGGTACAAGTCATAAGGATAACCCTTTTCCTACCAGTACATAACGCGGCCAATGGCACGAATCAAGTTGTGTAAACCAACCAACTTCGTGGCAAGATGAATTATAACCAGCTCTATATTTGAAATATTAACTGAAATAATGCCAACGAAGTGCTGCCAAATGCTAACATTCTTGTGAATTCTTATGCATTCACTCCTTAATTTCTACAATGAGAGAAAAAAGAAAAGAAGTGAATAAAAGATAATTTAATCACTTGTAACTTTCTGTGCGCACAGTCGATTTTTTCCATTTTTATATGTAAAGAGTTAACTATTTCATAAAGTAATTTTGCAATACTTCAGTCTTCTCTCTTTAGCAATTATAGAGTAATAAGAAAAAACGCAGAAATTTTTGTTAAGAAAATCCATTCTACGCTCCATTGCGCGCTTCTACTCTGACCAGTTTGGCCCCTATAACAACCTGCGTGCAGAAACTTCCAGTGTGACCAGGAGAGTGCCAACAACACACACCACGCAGACACACAGAAAAACAGACGGACAGACATGCCTAAATCAACTCAGAATTTCACGCGGATCAAGAATATATGGACATGATAGGGTTTCTGAAGCTTCCTTCATAAAGTCTGGGGCTTGCTAGCCAAATCTAAGAAATGTTTCGCATGTTCCGTCAAAATCACTCTAATCTGAGAAAAGCATAAAAAAATATATTAGATATAGATATGCGCTTCATGAAAAACTCACATTAAATCTGAAATCCAGCCTAGGATCTAACAATTCTTGTATTAAGACTATGGGAGGTAGTGACCATTTTGAATTGCTCGCGAAAGATGGTGTACAATGCACAAAGCCGGGAAAACAATCCTTAATGAGGGCTCTTTAATTGATAGAGCGTCAATAGATGACCCATTTAAAACCTCAACGGCAACTCAAAGGCTTGGTTCGACAAATTTTGCCATTGACCTTTCCTCCAAACCGCAAACCGATAAAAAGATGACTTAAAGAACCTGTTTCTGTACCCACGTAAAACTCATGATTTTCGATATAATTTGGATTTTTTACATTGCTGGTTGTCCACTTCATTTTAAATGAAGATAATCAGTGGCGTGGGACTAACTTTTGTTTTTGTTTATAGAATGAGCCCAGACATATGTGGCTTATATATCCACAGAAAGTTTATCAACTTGTTCACAACATAAATGCGGTACAACAACTGTTGAGGCATCTTCTGTGTCGCCCATAAATACGCCAGCTTTAACTCGGAAATTAGCTTCGGCAAACGGTAAATTTAAATACAATATACTTATCTTATTGCCAAAACTTTGCTTTCCATTTTAGTGCGGTACTTACTTTAACATACTTTGCTTACTTTAACATAATTCATTAAAGCATGGCTGGTTTCGGCATTGTCCTGAGTTTCAATAAATAGCAGCTTATAACGGAGCAATGTATCCACAATACCCTAATCATACCAAGAAGCCACCACCGACTCCAAACACAAGTAAGAAGTGAAAAAGCAAACAACCCCATCGGGAACTGTTTTTGCAGTTTCTACTAAAAGTTGCCCATAATTTCGTATAACGGCAGTATCTCATATTGCTTTCCGTTTAGAGAATACCATTGCTCGTGAGTTTCCCCCAGTAAAACCCTTTCAGGTATCTTAATTTCACGCCAAGCGATTAATTCATCCATCTTAAAATTGCATTCGTCATATACTTCAACATAAAAGGAATTGACGCCTGCTGGAAGTTGGCTTTGAATAACGCGATTCCAGGGAGGATTTTTGGATTAAGAAGCTTACACGCTGAAGTCCCGCACAAAGCACTATACAAAAGGAATGGATATTTTTCGACGTCTGAAACGTTGCTATCTTCGTTAACATAAGTTGCAATTAATCAATAAATTAAATATATATTTGCAAATTAGAATTTCTTATTACTTTTCTTTCGGCTTTTAAGTACATGGAATTTATACCAATTTTAGAATGCACCTATGTATATAGGTATATAGGTATGTATATAGGTGCATTCTAATGCTGTGTGTATAACATTCATTCCGAGTTTGCGGAATTGAATATATCGCCTACAAATTTGGAAAAGAATTTGGGAGGGATCTAAGCTTTACACAGGATCCGCCCACACGTCTATGGGACAAGGACGTTTATGTTGAAAATAAAAAAAATCAGCTGCGCCCAGTTCAAATTCAAACCATCTGAGAAAATACAAATTCCATACAATTGAGAATATTTGAATAAATTTGTTTAATCAGAAAATAATCCGACAAGTGTTTTGAGAGGCTTGTGTGTATAAGATGTTGGGAAAATGGCACTTTCCATAACCAAAATCATAACCAAAACATTACATATAAAAACGTTTTATTAATAGTACGTATATTTAGCATAGTCTTGGCTTCATTTTGAGTTCTACATACATTATGGAAAAAAACAAAATGGGTAGACTACCTCCATCTTAAAGTGATGGGTATAAAATTAAAAATAAAATAACTTAGGAACACGCAGAAAGTCCAAGAATCAAGGGCCATCTTATGTCTAAGTAAACTTGCCCTAATAGTTTATGGAGTTGTACGAAACGACGAGGGAAGGGTATCGTTTTGATATATCAAACTTAAATAAACCTGCCAAAATAGGATAACATCCCTAGTTACTGCAGATATTGTAAAAGATGACAATTTAAAATTCCGTATGCTTTCCAGAAGTGACGTAATAATGGCTTCAATTCAACGGTCAGTCCAATCGTTCGTCAATTAGCATGCGTAACATGGTTATTTTATTCGTAGTCTCTGATGAAATGTAATCCGATTTCTCCGCAAAATAAATGACATGCGTTTCTTCTTTTGCAGATATCTAGCAATTAAGAACACAAAAAATTTAATTATAAAAATTCATAACTTTTTATTAAATTCTTACAATAAAAAATTCATTATCATTTATTTCAAAAGTTAATACTTTTTGGACTGTTTTTTATTTTTCCCTTCATAAACCCTTTCTTCCTGGAAAGTGTTTTTTATAATCTGTGGTCTGCTATTATTGTTCTTGTTGTTTCTTTTTTTATATCTGTGCAGTGTATGATTGCTTGATTTGCAAATTTTATGCTAAATTTACATTTGCTTCACATTTAAGGCATGCAAGAGTGTGAAAGCGTTTTTAATGAACTCATATTCAACAAAAGACTTTGAAAGTCACTTTATAGCCATCCGTTGGAAAGTAGAAACGCAAACAAACCGAAATGTCATGGCTTTTACGATTACGGTCATAATTTCTATCCGATTCATTGCATAATAGTTTTCTTTTTTTTCTTTTTCTCAATGCACTTTGCGTAGCTATATTTTTCCATATTTTTACCGTTAAACCACAAACACAGTTAATTACTAAAGAGTACATAAAAAATTTTTCAGATAAAAAATTCATCTTTAGAAATTCAACGACAACATATAATTATTTGGTCGGCAATAAAACACAATCGATACTATGAACAAACGAAAAACATAGCTGGAGAAGATCTTTGGACAAACTGGTGATATAAGTAGTTGCTTTTGCAAGTAGAGCATTCTATTAATAAAATAGTAACTTCAAAAGTATTTAGGAAGCATCTATTATCAGAAGTATTCATAGAATTTAGCTTGGTACATTCAAGAGTGAGCAAATATAAAAAAATTGACATATTTTCAATAGCAGCGATTCATGGAACTGTCGCTTAAAACAAAAGTCGCACTTGCTAAAAACACTGCATTGTTTAAATGCCATTCACTTAAGATTATAAATACAACGTGTTGGTCGAACTCGACGAGTCAAGATTGTCGCATCATAAGTATTGTAACGTAGCGGCAACGATATAATTAAGTGTAATGTAGATAAGCGCAATAACAAAACGTTAACGACGGAAAATTCATACTTGAAAAGTGTAAATAAAAATGTGGAACTAAAAATTGATAAAGACAAAAGGCGAAGTAGTTATTTTTATCAGTTCGATACGAACTAAACGCACACAAGGTAGATGCGGAATAGGATAGAAGCATAACATGAACTCGAATTTTAGTAGATTGTTAGAAAATCGAAGTCACTAAAGATTTTTATATGGGAGCACCAAAGATTAATCTGAGTTTTTCATGGGTTGCTCTCACTATCCTACTGCAAGAACTCACTTCACAAGTTACGCGGAATGAGACCACCATTGCCCAAGCTTATGTTTAACCTTAAGTGTACACTACAATAACTACTGATACGTACGGTAATCGAATCAAAACGTGTGAACAAAGTGATCTCAAACTTTCAATTCTAAAAAAATTTCTGAATGTATCAAAATGTTTTCAAAATGTTAGTAACCTACTCTTTGTGATATGAGTTATACTACTTTGTATGAAGTGACCATATAAGTAAGTATGGATTTTGTAAGAATATATAATAAAAATTACTGTAAGTCTGCTCTTGTTGTTATTACTAACAAAATAGGTAGTATTAATTTAAATTGATAGTACAAAATAAATATACCGTAAATGGCTATCGTCTACCCGATTGCATAAATAAATCAATGTACTGATCACACCTTCTTGATATATAATATTTGACGGAGCTTTTATACTTTCAGAATTCATTTCTGAACTTGTTCTAAGGAAGAAGATAGGAAAAATTTGGAACCAACTTCATCTCAACAAAATTTGTAGTTACCAACGACTTTTCCAAGTACGCGTAATGAAATTGATACCACTATTCAAACCGATCGAGAAAGTGTGAGAAAGGTAAGTAGAAAGGTAGTGTACAGCAGCCATATTTACTTTTCACGCTCCTATGGTTCTTTGGAAAGTTTTCGTATCTTAACAAAAGGTGAGTATATAAAACCCCAATTACCAAGGTCTACATTTTAGAATTCATTGCGAACGCGTTACAAATTTAATATCTTTCATACAGTGAATAAAGTTAAAAAGAAAACGGGTTGGTTTGTTCGCCATTCATTCGTTAATTTACTCCGTAACTTCTATCGTACGTTTTGCTACGGCGTGCTAGACCTTCCGGTGATTGTGAACGAAAACTTCAGCACGTACCGTTTCCAAAATGGATGTCAACATTTTAGTAAACAAAATTGAAGGTTAAACGTTTACGTATGGACCTAAATATTAACCTTAATAAATATAAATATATATATATATACAAAAATTGCAGTACGGGCGAGCACCAATTCGTATCGAAAGTTACGCCGATATTTCATTCCACAAATCTCCACAAATATCTTTAAACAACCAGTTGCTGACTGTTAAGGTTGTGTCCGATATTTGCGATCTTCAAATACCGGTCGGATCTGATTCGATCGACATACAGGTTAGTCACGCATTATTCCGACGCATACTTTCGCTCATATTTTTGATTTTTCGAAAAAAGCTCGTTTTGATTTGGGTATTACCCAATTAAAAGTTAAGAATTCCAGGAAGTAATACCTTAAAATTTCCGTACAAATATCAAGGCTGCATATTAGGTGCAAACAAATTACGAAGTCATGTCTTTAGGTAGCGAGCTTATATATGATGTGCATACCCTAAGGCGATTATATATTTAACAAATTCGTTGCACATATTCAAGTGATGAAATAAAATCTTTTTAAATCTCCATTGCATTATTAATTGTTTTTCATTATTTTACATAGGCTTTATTGCATTTTTTTTTTTCACAAAAAAAAATTGCATCAAATAAATTGTATGCATATTTTCATTTTCAACGTTGGAACTTTTAAACCGGAAATTAAAAAGAAAGGTTTTATTGTTTTACTATAAAAACTAAAAAGAAATCAGTATATTACAAATAAAGAAAAGATAACTTTAAAGTGACATAATATTTTTCAAAATTGACATTTAAATTTTTCTTTCAAGATACAAAATTGTTTTCGATGTTATTGCCTAAAATGAAAATTAAATTAAAATATTATAGATAAGCCGTATCTTATTTTTAAGATTTCTTAAGATTTTTCAAATTTTTTATCTTTTTTGAATTTTCAGCGTAAACTTCCTTTAAATTGCTTTATTAGTTAAAACTGTCTGGAATTACACTTCGAAACCACATACACAGCCAAAAACACAGCCCTCCTATAACAAAAAATTTATATTTTTAGATGAAACCGCAAACAAAACTATGCTTTCAAAGTCATACATTCGCTATGCAGAACATATCTGCATGTAATTCCATATACTATTAATTGTTTGAGTGCATTAAAAAGACCGATCAACTACTTTCGGTAAAAGCAATTACAGTTGAAACCGAAAGCCATGCAGGAACCGCTGTAAAAGAAACGAAAAACTTTTCCAAAAGAAAATGTACGTACAAATAAAGAAGAGAACATACTAATAGTATAATACAAATTGTTGAGCTGTCTTGTGCAGACGTAAACAAGAGATTTACGGTAGCTTTTGCAAATACAAAACTAAATGAAATTTTACTTACCTATCAGGATATATTTAATTCCTGTTTTTATAACAATCGCTGCAGCTTTAGACGAGATTTGGCAAATCTTTGTGAATATGCACCTCAGAGGAAATGAAAAATATATATCCTTGATTGGCACAAATAATGGACGTAATGCGGTTTTCTACGTTTCCTTTCTAAAATCACGCTTTCAATCAAAAAAACTTTACTAATAGGAAACTTTATTAAGACCAAAGAACAGTTAAACCATCTATATAGTCCTTTAAAATTACAAAAACACGTACGTGTACTCGTTCTCTTTCTAAACTTTAACATCAGAATTGAAAAGGTATCGTATTAGACCCTAAAGTTGATTCTACGAATTGGAAGCGTTCATTCTACACCGACGTGTAATGTATAATGTGCAGAACAACAATTCGAGTAGTAGTCTAGTTATTTCGCATCGATTCAAAAATGAATATGTATCAAAGAGCCAGCTTTATAAACTTTTGCAGCGCAGTTACGGAGAGACTTTGATTGATATGAGATGATCACGAAGGTATATATGATGTCGAACAAGTTGGACAATCGAATTTTGCGATAACTGAAGATGTCAGATGATATATGATAGACTTTATCAAGCCCCACCCCAAATCCTTATTAAATGTACTAAAAATAGAATAAAATGCAGTATTACATAGGGCCATTTATAGTATTAATAAACAAAAATTATGCAAAGGATAACAAATAGGTATTTGACTTTTTCGCCAAAAGTCATGTTGAACGTAATAATCGCCTAGTGTCTTTTCCTAATTTTTTATGTAATTGCTATTTATTAAAAAATTAATACCCGGAATGTATACACCGGGATCTGCAAACTTCTGCCTAAGTGTATAAAATCTGGTTTATAAAGTGTGCGACATATGATATAGAGAGTCCAATATACGATCGATATATTGAGTTATCCTAGTGGACATTAAAAAAATTGTTGCGAAGCTATTTTAAGTTCTTTCGTGTTTGCTTTCTACGAGTCTTGTCGGTTGACGAGGGTTAAAAAATTCTTCACTCTTTTTTCTTGACTCTTTGTCTTCTTCTCTTCTTGTTAAGAATCGCTTACACTTTAAAGCTAACAAACATGCGAACATGATATGATTTGCTAAAAATTCCATTCTTAGCACTAACGTATGTAATACACGCACATGCATGTATATATAATATACACCTATATAATATTAAATGTGTGTCGTGTATATAACTTGTTAACGTAATGTTAATTAATGCGGCAAAATCACAACCAAACATATTTTCATCTTGAAACACAAGCATAAACGTTAGCAAGAAATTGCTCCTTTATATCATATACATTCCTACGCATATCGTTTTACTACGAACCTCATCAATCTGATTAATATCATACTCAGGAATACTAGGCAAAGCATGCATGACCAAGAATGCATATATGCACGTACAACAGGTGCTTTTGATAGTTTTTGCCTTTCATCTGAGGTGTTAGGAATACACGTTGACTACTTACTACGTAGAAGGTGCGTTCACAAGCATTTCTCTAAGTACACTCTCTATAGCTTAGCTTAAGTAGAAATTACCATTCTAGAATTAATTGAAGAAATGTAAACAACGAAACAAGGGACTGAAGTCAAAAGTAATTGAACAGTGTCTTCCCTTTCGTTAGGATATATTTGTAAAATCGGTACACTTTAGTAAACTAATTATACTCTCTTAAGACATTAAATTAAATTTTTCGATTATTTACACACCACAGAAAAAATCAACATATTCACATATGTGCTGGTTTCTGTTGTCGTTTTTATTATAATATTTTAAATACGTTTATACTCTTAAAGCAAATAATCTTCGGTTGGTGGTCATCGTAACTTTTATTTAAAATTTATCTCATTTTAGCTTTCTTTTTGTCGTTGTATTGGGTGCGTCGCTCGACAAGTGTTTGGCTTTAAAGATACGTGTGTATATTTTTGAGATCCAAAGCGTAGCGATGAAAACAGGCCTTTTGATGTTGTCAATAGACAATTTTAGAGTCATGTCAATTTCGTGAACCTAGCCCTACTAACTCATATAATGGCTGTGGTGGAAAATTTTTAAGGCTAAATGCTTAAATTACGACATCACAATTAACAATTCACTAATAATAAAGGATAATTAAAATAAAAGAACGGTTTGTAATTTACTAATTCAACCGGAAGCAACTTCATTTTGACAACCCGCAAAATTTTTGAAAAACTTCGATTATTTTGCAATATGTCCTCGAAAAAAACGGAAACGCCTCGAATATATTCAAAAGGAATTATAAGATATTACAGTGAAGATGAAATTTCGATGTTAAATATTTGCCAGTCTTTGAGCCATCAATTTATAAAAACTAAACCAAGTCTGCCATTTGTTAGCCAAAAGTGACCAAAATCAATAAATCATTTGCTTAAGATTAAGTGAGAAAAGAAGTATGATACTCAGGTGCCAATTAAATTAACCGAATGTATGTCTACATACCGCTTGACACAAACGTGAATGATGAAAGCCAGTTCACATAGGACAATAATATGCGGAAAAATACTAGATCAAGCTGCACAAGAAGTGGAAAAAACAGATTGGCACCACGTAAATTGTTTCGTGTTTATTGCAATGAGAAGAGAATCGTGTATCTCGATATAGTTTAACCTAGCTAAACGAATGATTGTATTCTCTGCTGGCATCAAGTAAGGTGTTGTAAGCGCGCTGTTAAGATAGCGTGTGCAGAGTTGATCAACAAAAAAGTTTTCAGCTTCCATCACAATGACCTCAGATCATCCGCGTCTTTAGTAACTCGGCAAAAACTGAAGCCACCGTCCACCGTAGAGCTACAATTTCGCTCTCTGCAGGAAGCTTTTAATGGTCTAAACGATTGGGGTGAAGACAGCTTCGTTTTTAGCAAAAAGAAAGAAAAATGAGACCTACCCGGGAAATGCTATCAGCAGGTGAACAAATTTACAATAGTTTTTGAACTGTCTGAAAGAGATACCTTACCTATAAAAAAAAAAATATAAAAATATAAATATAATAGGACATAACATGTCTAAAACCACAAAGTATATTAGTCTTCGCTATAAGAAATCAACGTAAAAAATTGTTGTACGTAATAAGAACGCTTTTTTTCATTTATCATATAATTTCGAAAATTCCTAACAAAAGACGTTATTGTACGAGATTTGAGAAAATTGCGAAAATATTTTTCATCTTTCTATTCAGATCGATTTTGGTTCCCTTGCTGCTAGTAATTTAGCTTTATTGACTATGTTCAAAACCAGTTGTTGTTATTAGAAATTTTTAATATTTAGTCTAGAATTTCTGACGAAATATATTAGTTGTGGAAGGACGCAACTATGTGATAATAAAAATCGCCAATTGCGCTGCGTGCAATTTGTTTATAACAAAAAATATAATATTTAACCTTTTCAATATATATTGTATTACTAAATAGTAAGACCCTCACATTTCTTAACTGCGGGAAATTAACTCTAATAACCTCTGCGGAAAGTAAGGTATTTTGCCTGCTGTATGCAAAGTTTTTTTAAAAAAATCTCATTGGATGGTATAGTTTTGCGATTGTTTTCATCACATTTCTCTCTATAGACTTCGGAATTTGTAAGTAGTATAAACCGTTCTTTACGTCAACAGTAATTTCATCGCGAACAATACCTCAAGCCTTTCCGCTTTTTTAGCAAATG